TGGTATTTGGGTTTTGGGTTTGGGTAATTGTGGGTTTGGTTTTGGTGGGTTTTGGTTTTTGGGTAATTGGGTTTGAGTTTGGGTTTTGGGTTTAACTTTGCATTTCACCCCTCTAACTTTCAATTTCTTCAATTGAGTCTTTTCTCTCATCTTCCTTCCCAATCTTCTTCGTAAAATTTCCTTTTTGCTCCAGAACCTAACAAGGAAAACAAAAACAAAACATATTACTTAAAATAAATGAAAATAAAATTCTACTAAAATTTGAGTTATGACACGTATAAGCCTCGAACAACAGCTTTTTTATTTTGTTTTTTTTTTCTAAATTACATTTGGTGAACTTTAAAATTTTTCATATATATATGTTTATTTTATTACATTTTTCAATTTTCTTTTATATTTATGTATTTTTTTTTTTTGTTTTGTAGGAAATGTGAAGAATTTCAAGTAAAAGCATTTTTTTTATTTTGTTGTAAATTACATATTTATATAGTTGTAGTTTATATATACTTATATTTTATTTTTTATTTATAATTATAATTACCAATATTATATTTTTATTTACTTTTATATATTTTATACTATCCAAATAAGTATAATTTTTATTAAGTACATATATTCATACCTAATTTAATTTAGCCTTAGAATTAAAAAACCTTAGAATGCCTATATTTGGACCGATACCGGTTCGTATATACACCTGAACAACAGCTTTTTTTTTTTTTGGTTATTTTGACCTTAAGTCGTTCTACTCTCGTTTTAAACCATAATATTCCGAATGTTTGCAAGCTAAAGTGGTTAACCTTAACACAAAAAATTAATTTTATTGCTTGTTGCTCCGAAAGAGCATTACGTAACATTATCTCTAATAACCTTCAACTTATACGTTCGTGGTTTTGCAACGATATTACTTCGTACCATCGTAAGATAATTTCATGTAGACAATCAATGGTTTTGTGGTTCCAAGGGATTGTAAGGTCGATGTACATGCAATTGGTTTTCACAGGAATGGATTTAGGACACAAGAAGATGGTAATGTCCTTAAATGAAAAGAATAAAAATGTGCATTGAGAGAAGTTTCTGAATTTTTTCTAGTATATTCGGACCAAAATCAATCTGAAAAATGAAAAGCATGGAAGCTTATGGATTCTTTCCATATATTCAGACCAAAACTGATTCGTATATATATTCATACTTAATTTAATTTAGCTTTAGGATTAAAAATCTCTCGGAGTGCCTATATTTGGACCGATATCGATCCGTATAACGTTATACAGACCGGTATCGATCCGTATATACACCTGAATAGCAGCTTTTTATTTTTTGGTTTAAGTACCATTTTGGTCCCTCAACTTTTTACTTTGGTACCAAAATTGTCCCTCAGCTTTAAAAGGTACCAAAATTATCCTCAAACTTTCATTTTCGGTACCAAAATAGTCATTCCGTCAGTTAAATGACAGGTGGCACATTAAAATGCCAGCAAATCAATTTTTTTTTTTTGCTTAACTAATGACATGGAAAAAAAATATAGTTGGATATATTTTATTATGAGTAGGCATTTTTATTTAATTTAAAAATAATAATTCTTTTTTTTTTCACCTACGTCAGATTTCTTCTTCCTTTTTCATTTTCTCTCTCCTTTACCTTTCCTTTTCTCTTACTTCTGCAAACCTAGGCTCTCGGTTTTCTCAAACGACCGAGAAGCAAGTGATGATCGTCACCATTGACGACAGCAAGCCAAACTTTCTGCTACTACTATTGTTGGCCTTCTTCTTCTTCTCTCAAACCCAGATTTGGGTTTGAGAGAAGAAGAAGAAGGCCGACAACAATAGTAGCAGAAGGACCCAGATCTGGGTTTTTCTCAAAAAAAAAAATACAATAAAAGCAAAGCTCCCCTGAGCTAAAATCTCAAAATCCCATTCTTCAATACCCATTTCCTGTAAAATTAAAGAGAAAGAAAAATGTCCCAAAATCGTATAAATCACTGTCAGGTCTCATCTTTCCTTTCACATGCAAACCCACCACAAAATCTCCGATACCTCCCATTACAATCCAATCAACACAACACCCAAAATCTCCGATACCTCCCTGCAATGGTGTATTCACAGACCTGGTTGCTCCTCTAGATTGGGCCACAAGAAGTCGACCTTGGTGGAGAGACAAGCACTCGAGGCGATGGCAACAGCTGTGATAGCAACGTGGGTGATGGTGGAGGTGATGGCAACGGCTGTGCCAGCGACGTGGGTGATGGTGGAGGCGATGGCAACGGTTGTGCTAGCGACATGGGTGATGGTGGAGGCGATTGCAATGGCTGTGACGGCGACGTGGGTGATGGTGGAGGTGATCGCAATGGCTATGACGGCGACGAGCGAAAGGCCGGTTCAACAAGCCTAAGAAAACCCAAATCTGGGTTTTCAAACCCAGATCTGGAAAGGAAGAAAGGAGAAGAGAGACTCTGATTTTGATTTTGATTTTGATTTTGGAGAGAAAGAATAAGAAGGATGATCTGATTCATTTTTAGGGTTTTTAATTTGAAAAGGAAATGAAAGGAGAAACGAAGAAAACTGATTTTTGGGAAATCTGATTGAAACTGGAAAAAGAGAAAAAAAAATTTATGTGGGCCCCATTAAAAGGGTAAACTAAAAATATGATAATCTGACGTGTAAAGAAATGCCATAGTAAAAAAATGCCATGGTAAAAAAATGCCACCTCATAATAAAACATATCCAACTATATATATTTTTTCCATGTCATTAGTTAAGCAAAAAAAAAAATTGATTTGCTGGTATTTTTGTTGTTCCTATGATTTTGATGATTACAAAACACATTTGAGTGACTAATTGGTTTATTTAAGTGTGTAGTTAAGTTGTTAAAAAATTGCAAGTAAACTTGGATTGCACTAAAAATAGACCAAAAGGATTCAAAATGTGTAGAGAGCCGGCTCTTAAAAGCTGCAGCCGCCTCGGTGAAATGGAAGTGCATAGAGCCGGCTTTGGAAGCTGCAGCCGGCTCTACAGGCAAAAATTTGAAGAACATTGCTTGGCGCGCGCAGAGAAAAGACGCAAAGCCGGCTCCAACTTTATAGCCGGCTGTGAGGGTGCATTTAATGCACAACGGTCGACTCTTTTGAATGTATTTAAAATCGAAATTCCAAAACCGACTTAAAGTTTTGCAGCCGGCTCTCGAGGAAAATAAAATGGGCTGCAAACCCGGATAGCCGGCTCTCGAAGTGTAAGCCGGCTCTAGGAAGTTAAGCCGGCTCTAGGAAGTTAAGCCGGCTCTCCTGACAATCCTGCAGCTCGAGCTTTGTGTCCTGCAGAGCATTTAATGACCCCTAACAGCTAGAAACGGCTATTTTCGACCATGGAGCTATAAATATGATTGGTAACAGATCTGAAAAAAAGTTAGAGAGTATTGTATTGAATATCTTTACTACCAACTTGTGCTTTAACTTGAGATTTTGATCTTTGAAAGATCTTTGTTTGTAATCCTCTTCTTGTGTTATTAATGAGTGATCTTGGGGATGTGTTGATTCCGTCAAGAGTGATCTATTGAGAGGATTTGTGGAGTTTACATTGTAAAGGGGTGAGGTTTGAGAGAAATACTCATCTTCTTGTAAAGGATTGAGTGGCTCCTTTAAGCCACC